CACTGGCCAGAGTCGAGAAACCGAGTGGGCGCAGTTTGCCTACTGAGGCTTGCTCATGAACGCTCGGCCAATCGTCGCGGTCTGTTGAGCATTGGAAAACCCAAGGCGATCGCGGCCGCGCTCCCCTCAAACTCCTCGCAATCCTCGTAGCGGTCGGCCAGCTGTGGGAATGGCGCGTCCTGTTCTCGGAAGTCGCTAAAGTCGAAGCCGTCAGCACTGGCAACAGTCGCGCCTTTCCAGGCCAGGCCGGATCCATCCTGCTGGGCAACAGCAAAGGTCTGGCACTGTTGAGGAGGAGCGTCTCCTTGGAAGCTGTGCGACACGACCCCGTGGCGGAGCCTTTGCCGCAGAGGGTAGCCTGTGCACATGGATCGCGGCCGCGTCGTCCAGGGCGTGCCCCGTGCCATGAGCTGCGCGTTCAACGCGGGCATACGCACGGCCAGCAGTGCTGCCAAGGGCGTCAGCACACCGGCCGCGGATTCAGCGATCAACAAGGCGGAAAAGTATTCAAACGCGGGGCCACATTGGAGGGCTCGTGCTTCAACGCTGCGCCAGGAGCTTGCTGCGCGCGGTTCGCAGCGGGCCTGCTCAGGGCTGGGGGTCTGGAAATTTCAACCAACACCAACACAGTGGTTGCCTCCACCTGGGAGAAGATGACCCTGGATTTTAGTGTTGGTGGTCATCCCTCGGCCACCTAAGAAGCCCGAATTATACCACCATCACCAAGAGCATGATCATCTTCCCTCGGTGGCGGCAAACGCCGATACTGGCGTTGGTGTCAACCTCAAGGCCTTCGACAGGATTCCCGAGAACGCCTACAGTGCCAGCACGTATAGCAAGCAACAGCAGGCAGCAAACGGCTTGCAGAGCAGACGGACAACTTGGACCGCGCCAAAGCCGTGTCGTAGAGCACGACACGATCGGGGGCCTCATCAAAAAACCGAGGGGTCGGTCTGCGTCGGGACTCGATTGCTGCTCTTTAGCAGCAGGTGAGGGCTGCGGTGCCTCCCCTCTTTCTTTCTGCACCATCACAACCACCAGTCCCCGACGCGGACAAAACATGCCGCTTCTCTCATGAGGGAGGAGGATGAAGACGAGGAGGAGAAGTAGGAGAAGGAGGAGGACGAGGACAAGCAGCAAGAGGAGGACGATAAGAAGGAGGAAGACGATGAGAAGGAGGAGAAGAAGGAGGAGGAGGACGATGAGAAGGAGGAGGACGAGGATGAGAAGGAGGAGGAAAATGAGAAGGAGGAAAAGGAGGGGAACAATCAGGAGGAGAAGCAGCAGGAGGAGCAGGAGCAGGAGCAGGACCAGGAGGAGCAGGAGGATCGAGGGAAGCGCCAGCAGGAGCGATAACTGCTGCATCAAAGTCCTATTCAGGTCACTGTTGGCAAAGTTGAGGCCACAGTGATGTCATATAGGGAAACGAACTCTATACACCGACGCTTTCTCCGGCTCCGCACCGAAACTCACACAGGAAAAGCGGATCCTGGTGTATACGGGACCCTAGTGTATACATTTGTCGCTGTTCCCCTTGGGAAATGCGGAAACCAGTATACACCACACCACCCCAGCGTCGTCCCCAACCCTCGAAAGGCCCTGGGATTGAAAAACAGCCCGCCACTGGTAATGTATATGTTCTAGTTTCCGATCATGTTCATGCAACCGACGGGTTGTCTCGAAGTCAGATTGACGTTACCTGAGGTACAGATCCCAAAAGAGCTCCCACGTGGCCCAAAGGCGCCCTAGACGGCCCAAGAGATCCCCAAGACGGCCCCAAGAAGGGCCCAAAAGAGCGACCACGAACCGCGAATTCCAGCGCTCCGCCCAACGAAGCTCTCCTGAGGACCCAAGAGGCCCCCAAGCGGCCCCAAGAGGCCCCCATGAGGCACCCAAGAGGCCCCAAGGAGCCCCCAAGAGGCCTAAAAGAAACCACAAAACGGCCCCCAAAACCCTTCGAAACTGCGTCGCAGAGGCCCGCGAGAATCCTCGCCACGAGGAATGCAGTCCTGGAGGCGCAGTAGTTCATTGGGGGGTCGGCGGATGTGGCGTAAGCCTATAGAATCCACGTCCAGAGGTGACGTGCTGAGCGGCGGCGTTTTCTGCGGAGGCGATAATGCAACGTATCCAATGTGTCCAATGATTCCATAATTGCAACGTATCGTATTGCGTTACATTATTATGTGTCCCCCCCTAACCCCCCCCCCGAGGGGCCACGCCACTTCCGTCGACCCAAAGGTGGCGGACCCCTTCTGGGCTTCAAAAACATCAAAAACCTATGAGAAATCACCAAATTCGGCCTCTTGGGCCTCTTGGGGCCCCAAGACATTTCAAGACGGCCCAAGATGGACCCAAGACAGCCCAAGACGGCCTCAAGACGGCCCAAGATGGGCCCAAGAGGGCCCATGAGGCCCCCAAGAAAGTCCAAGAGGCCCCCAAGAAGACTCCTGAGAGCGCCTCCGGAAGCCAAAATCTTTGATTCTCCTATAGCTTTGGGACAATTTCAACGTTTTCGCCTTTTTCGGCTCTCAGAAAGCCATGACGGCCCAAGCAGCCTCCAAAAAGGCCCCCAAACGGCCCAAGAGGCCTCCAAGGGGGCCCCAACACGGCCCAAGAGGGCCCCGAGACGGCCAAAAAAACCCTCAAGACGGCCCAAAAAGACCCGATACGGCCCCAGAGGACCCCAAGAGAGCCCCAATGCGGCCGCGAGAGGCTTCCAA